TGTTATTCTTTTTATGCACCCCCCCCCCCCCCCACCTCCTGAGTGTGTGTGTGTGTGCGCACACACACAGAGGCTATATCTGCAGAGGCCAAAGGATTACTTTGAGGAATTGGTTTTCTCCTTCTAACATGTGGATCTCAAGAATGAAAGTCAAGTTACCCAACTTGGCAGCAAATGCCTTTGCCTATTGAGCTATATTGCTGGCGTGCACTGAGAAAAGTAAGCAAAGAGTAAGTAAATTCACTTCAAATACTGGTATAATTTCAACTTTATCTAGAGTTTTAATTGGTGAACAAAGGTGAATCCCTGTCACCAAATAAATGACTGTGCCCATATTATTAAGAATGATGTTAATGCTAAATTTTTAGCTCAAATCAGTCATCAGTCACAGGTTCCAACTGCTAGGGTTTAAATCTGTCATGCCAGAACACAGTAAATTTCACAGTAAGTACAGCACAACAAATGCCTTGGAGTGCAGAGACACCCAAAATATGACTAAAGAAAGCATTGAAGCAGTAGCATACATACAGTCTCCATTAATGCAAGGGTTATTGGTGTATGCATTTGGCTAAAGTGTGAGTGAGATTTAATTAACGGCAACTATTACACACTGGAAACAACACATAAAATTGACAGTCCTTAATGCCATTGCTAATGCTTTCATGGATCCTCAAACTTAAGGAGGTTCATTATTGGAAGACAACAAGGAGTTGCTAGCTAAATTCCTTGGCATTCTAGCAAAGTATGCCCCAAGTGTGATTTTTAAAAACCATTAACCTACTTTGTAGAAATGATTGGAAGGAAATAATAAAAGATCTAAGGTAAGATTGAATTTGAGCTAAGAAATGTTAAAAAGTCACTCAACAAATGATATCTATTCTAAAAAAGGAACAGTAATCACCTCCTAAGCTCAATGAAAGAGAAACAGGAAGGAAATAAAATGATAAAAATCTTCTAGCTTTGGTAGAATAAAGAAACCTCTTTGCAGAAGGTATCATTGAATAAGTTGTAAATCCAGTTATTATAACCTGTATTCCTATTACAGAATCTTTTTAAAAATCAATACGACTAACAGTAGATCAAGAAATTCTTTCAACAAACCAAGGTACACTGCAACATGTGGGCAGTGCATTGTTTACCTGGCAGTCCAAGCCACAGATGATATGTAAGAAAAACTGTTGTTGACTTGGGTCCACAAATGCCCAGGTAGTTGAAATGTGAGGAAGTGAAGCTACAGGTATGAAAAGGAGGGAGGAAAGGAGGAGTACCTGACTGTTCTGAAGCCGGCTATATGAAGTCACGTAATGGGAGGTCTTAAAGAAATATTCTTATTCTGCAGACCCAAAAGCTGGTTATGACATTTCCTGAGGTGAATGACATGACCTGATAGGAATGTTAAGGATTGTCCTATCTTGGCTTTCTACTATGAATTATTATGAGTTACTCATTAGTCAAACACCAATGTGTACTAGTGTTTTCGCTGGGTAATTGTTTGGTACAGGAGGTTATTCCTAGTATCTGTAGCCTCCTTAACTTCTATCCATTAAGTGCGCAGTTAGCATCTTCTTCCTCATTTGTGGCTACCAACTTTTCCTTGAGCAAAATCTTCCCTTTTCTCCTCACCCATTGTTAAAACTTAAGAGTGACTGCATAACCTGCTAAAGGGCTGGTCCTTAGAGAAAACTGACTTCCCTTTATCAGCAGTCATTAATGTTCAGTAGCTCTTCTTGTAAGGGTAGGGCTTTGTGAGATTCCTAGACTGGCAAGTCATTTGGTGTCATTATTGTGCAGGTCTGTGTGTGTGGGATTATAAGGAGTCACCACACCATTATAATTAAATGGGAAGAAAGTGATTTTAAATGTATAAACTACAATGATATATAACTTTTAATTATAGGACTAGAAAAACATTATCAACCTTTTTAATATATGATTTAAATATAGCCAAAGAACAATGTATTTACTGGTAGCATTTTCTACACTATCATCTAAATATTCATATATTATAAAAGTATCAAAAATATTTAGTAAAAGTATGCATGTTTAGAGAAAAATAGAATACAAATTTTCATAAGCTTATAAAAAAGATTGTCTACTCCATTCAAACTGGCTTTATTGTGGGGATGCTAGGATGGTTTAATATATGTAAGTCAATTAATGTAGTAAGTCACAAATAGATTTGACAAAATAAAATAAACATCCCAGTAGATGCTGAAAAGGCCTTTGAGAAAAAAAAAATCAGAGGTGCTCAATTAAAATATTGGTTAAGGTACACTTAATATCTCAGGGAGTAACCAACAGTCATCTAAACAGTCCTAAGGTATGTTTAATAGGAGAGAATTCATGCCTGGTTTTAGCTAACTCCCTGTGGTTGGTGAGGTAATGGACCCTAGAGGAAAACTAGTAAGTAACTATACTGGTCATGTTCCCTGACCAGTGTTAATTTCCAAGTGTATTCAAAATGCCTATCCTTACATCCACAGGTATAGCTTTCGTACTTCATCAAAGAGCTTTTGAACCCCCCTCCCCCAACAAACAGACCATGCCAGAAATTTATATTTGGTTAAAATGGAGAAAACATCTGTCAAGGAGTCCATTCCAAATCAATATATTTACAACATAACTTCTACAGCAAAGGCTCAGATAACACCATGGAAAAGGGTACAGGAGACTGTGATAGCCTAAGTCCTAGGGATGTCTCCTATGACTGACTCTCCCCCCCCCTCTTTCTCTCTCTCTCTCTCTCTCTCTCTCTCTCCACACACACACACACACACACACACACACACACACACAAACCCCTTCCTCTATACACCCATGAAAGCTTGACAGTATGGTCCCCTAAACAAGACCTGTACTATGAGAACACCAGTTGACATCCAACTGTGGATGGGAGAAATATCAAGAAGTTCCACCCTTAGGAAAAGAAATATAGGTAATCAATGGCTGTTAAGAAAGTCTTCTCCCAGGATGAGCCATGATTTAATTTCAAGTGGTCATCCCCAAACACACATATGAATATGAACAATACTAAATGGACTAGGATTCAGCAGGTTGTATTTATAAACACACACACACACACACACACACACACACACACACACACACACACACACCAGTAATAACAAAGAAGAAAAGGGAATAAAGTTGGATGAGGAGGCACAGGAAGAATTGAAGAGGCTTGTTTGTGGGACTGAAATGGTATAAATTCAGTAATCAATGAAATTCTCTAAAACTAATAATAACATAAATGCTTATAGGCTGGAGAGATGGCTCAGTGGTTAAGAGCACTGGCTGCCTTTCCAGAGGACCCAGGTTTAATTCCCAGTACCCACAAGGTAGCTCACAACTGTAACTCCACTTCAGGGGATCTGACACCCTAAAACCAATTCACATAAAAGTAAATAAATTATACAAATAAATGCATGTTTAATAATTTTAGATGTAATAAAGTTCAACCATATATAACTTCTTAGATAAAAAGAAGATAGAAGCTCTCTGCATGGAAGTATTAAAGGAAAAATTTCTATTAGTTTTTACATTGTCTCTTTAGGTACACATCTATGTATTATTCAAAGAAAACTTCATATAAATATACATTAGAGAATAGACTTCTTAAAGGAAACTGAAAGCTGATTTCCAGAATGAGTGATTAAAATAAAAGTATAACAATGACACTTACCATCACAGGAAAGGGAGATATAACTTCCTAAGTCATCAGACATGTGTCGGATCACATTTCTACCCATCTGAATACCAAGGAAGATCCAATAATCTATTGCTGCTCCAAGAATCCCAGTCAGTAAGTAAGCGAGTTCATGTTTGAAGACCTAGAATTATGATGTAAAGTATTACCAAACATTAAAAATACAAGACTTCTCTAATACTTCCTTTTACTATGTCTTGAGAGATCAATGACTACAATATGGAGTATGCTAGTAGTAAAAGAATACTAGCAACCTGTCTCTTTCTCCATCTATTCTATGCCACTCTCTCTCAATACACACATCACAGGTTTGGAAATCTGTCATCTGAAATGACTAGGGCTCTTAAGTGTTTTAGGTTTCAGATTTTTTTTTTTTTGAGTTTGGAATTATCTAAAAATACAAAATGCATACAGAGAATGGTATGCAAATCCAAATATAGAACTCATTTGTTCATAAATACAGGATGTACATATCCTGGAAGTAATTTCACAGTATTTTTAATGCAGTTTTGTTTGAGATCTGTTATATAAGGTCAGGTATAGAATATGGAATCATAGTGGTCAATAATTATGGATTTGGGGGCATTTAGGATTCTGGATTAAGGATGTTCAATGTAGCTTTTAACAACAGCCTATAGCAACAAAAATTTTGACCCAAAGCTATCAGGTCTCTTAGACATGCACTATTTCTATTTAAAATCATGAGGAATTTCCAGGCTTCTTTGGAAATTACTTGATTCATATATAAAAGAAGACAGATTTGCTATTTTTACAAAACAGACCTATGTGCACTTCTAAAATCTTTAATTACTATTATTGGGTGCATACTGTGTGTCCAGATGGTGATGCACCTGCTCCATGGTGCACATGTGAAAGTCAGTGGACAACTTTTTGTAGTCAGTTTTCTGCTTCCACCATGGATTCTAGGGACTGAACTCAAGATATTGAGATTTGTGTGGCAAGTACCTTTACCCTCTGAGCTATCATTAGAGCTGTTTTCATTTCAAGTAGTGGTATCAAAAGACTTGAGAAATTCAACAAGTAAAATCATCAACAAACCTGTTAAAGAAATAGACTTAATCCAAGTTCTATTTAATTGTAACAAAATGAACAAAATTGGAGATAAAGAGATCAGTTTTGAAAGTATACATTTTCATATTATCACTTTTATACTAAATATTACATTCTTATAAGAGCTATGTCAAGGCATTTAGAGCCTTATATATTTTAACACAGTGCTTTCCTTTTAAACACATTTCTCTAATCTAGAGAAGTCAGTACGAACTATGAAGATAAAGATGTGAGAAAACAGTATTTTAAAAACACTGTTTTAAGATCATACATTCCATGCTTTTTATTTTTTTCTATTTATCCAATGGTTTATTTTTTTCTCTCTCCATTTTTTTATTTAAATTAGAAACAAGATTATTTTACATGTCAATCCCAGTTCCCTCTGCCTCCCCACCTCCACCCCCCCAACTAACACCCTACCTATTCCATACCCCTTCTGCTCCCCAGGGAGGGTGAGGCCTTCTGTAGGAGGTCTTAAGAGTCTATCATATAATTTGGGATAGGACCTAGGCCCATCCCATTGTGTCCAGGCTCAGGGAGTATCCCTCTATGTGGAATGGGCTCCCAAAGTCTATTCCTATGCTAGGCATAAGTACTGATCTACTACAAAAGGCCCCATAGATTTCCTAGGTCTCCTCACTGACACCCACATTCATGGGTCTATTCATAGGCACTTTTCCAAAATGACATCAAAACTAGTTGCAATACCTAATTCTTGTTGTATGTTTCCTAGCTATGTTGCATGTGTGAAAATATCATTAAGTAACAGTTAGGTTAGGCATATAAACATGTTTTCTTGAATCAATTTTGTATCAGAATAGATTGAACTGCTGTGTTTAGCCATCATATTATGGCTAATGAGAGAAATGCTGAGGCATTTTGAACCCTCAGAAAATAGTAGGCTTATTTCTCATGTCCTTGCAAACAAATTTATTTTAAGTATGTATATTTTACCAGGAAAGCATTCCTTAGCTTACATAGACATCAACCCAGCCACAAAACCTTTGATCTGCCTACAAGATGTGCTGGGGAAATGGTGGTACAGAATTTCTGGGAGTGGCCAACCAATGTCTGATTTTGACTTGAGGCCCACTCTTCAAGAGGGAGCCCGTGCCTCACAGGGCTTGCACGGCCAGGAACCAGAGACTGGATTGCCCAGAGACCTATGGTAGAACCAACACGACTGGTCTAAAAAAATCAAAGTGATTCCTAATGATATTCTGTTTTACTTAAGAGATCGATGCCTTGTCTAATCCTCAAAAGGCTTCCTCCCACAGCAGATGGGAGTGAATGTAGAGACTCACAGCCAGACATCATGTGGAAAGAGAGGTCTCCACAAGTTCCTTCTTAGATCTCAGAGAAACCCGCAGAAGAGGAGATGGGAAGATTGTAGGAATCAGAGGGGATGGAGGACACCAGGAGAATATGGTCCATGAATCAACCAAGAAGAGCTCACATGGACTCACAGAGATTGAAGTGGCCAGCAGAGGCCCTCCATGGGTCTCCACCAGGTCCTCTGCATATATGTTGTGGCTGTGAGCTTGGTGTTCTTGTGGGACTCCTAACTGTGAGAGCAGTGGGTCTCTGACTCTTTGGTCTGCTCTTGGGACTCCTTCCTCTGTTGGGTTGCTTTGTCCAGTCTCAGTGTGAGGGCTTTTGCTATGTCTTATTGCATTTTGTTTTGTTTTGTCAGGTTTGGTTGTTATCTCCCAGAGGCCTGCTCTTTTCTGATGAGAGACAGAGGGGGAGTGGGTCTGGGGGAGACGAATGGGAGGAATGCAGGGAGGTGAAACTGTGGTTGGGATGTATTGTAGAACATAAGAATCTACTTTCAATAAAATAAAAGTAGACTGTACCACAAAAGTATAATTCCACTTGTGAAATATTATACATGTATTGTAGAAATTAGTACAAGTAAGACTTATGTTCTTAAACACATAGAGATGACTCTGGACACTGAAGAAATTAATGATATAGAGTAATGCATCTAAGAAATAAATGATAGAGTAAAAAAAAAAAAAACCAATTGTACAATGGAAATTCTGACTCTGGTTTGCTGTGCAAACACACAGAAACAAATAGTCAAATAGCACATGTAATCTATGCTATCAAACAGTGACACAGAAGGAAATCCCAGAGTCAAGATCAATAGCAAGTATTAAGATGTGGTATGTTATATGTCATGGGGAAGCACACTGAATTCTAGTAGCATATTACATCTAAGAGAAAGATCCTGAAGCACTGGGTTGAAGGATTTTATATTGAATGGTTAGTTAACAATTAAAACAAGCAAGGCAGTGATATAATTAAGGTTGAGGTTACAACAGGTAACTTGGTCATATCAGGTCAGAATTCATGCATGCATGCAAATACTGCTACTTCTTCCCACCTCCACTGTAAGATTGGTCAAATCGTACAGTTGCAGCTGTGTGGCATGGGATGCTTGCAGCTCGACTGACTGAACAGCAGCATCAATTTAACCCCTTGCATGACCTAAGGGACTATAGTGCCAATCTCTTGAAACTTTGCAGGAAAACAATTCTATTCTTTGTAAAGCTGATATGCAGATAGGACTGAACACATTGTTAGTTCTTTCATATCATTCAGATTAGCAAAAGGATATGAAATTGATCATGTCCAAAAATATATTACAAAATGTTACTTCAAACACAATGCATTTTGAGTATTAGTAATGATAGTACTTAGAAGAGAAGGGAGAAATCAGTTATTTTGATATCTAAAAATATGTTTCAAGTAGAATAATTCAGGATCACATGAACCCCCAGATTCTAAACCTGTTGAGTAGAAAATAAATGTTAGTCTATGGATATAGACTAACACACATATGTGCATATGTATATGTAGTTTATATACAGACCAAGCTTGATATAAAATCACAATCTAGCACTCTATTAATAAAAAAAGAAAATATCAATCAGTTGGGACTTTACCTTAATTTTATATAAGTCAACATATACCTATATCTGAAACCTCAATTTAAAATAAGTATTTATCATTTTTAGATTTTTAAAAATTTGCATGAATGTTTTGTCTGCATGTATGTAACTGTTCCATATATGTGTCTGGTGCCCATGGAGGTCAGAAGAGGCATGCATGCATGCCTCTGAGACTGGAGTTATATATGGTTCTGAGTCCATGAGAGTGCTGTGAATTGAAACTGAGTCCTTAGCAAAAGTAACAAGTGCTTTTAACTGATGACTTAACTCTCTAGCCCTAAAATTAGTTGTTTTTTTTGTTTTGTTTTGTTTTGTTTTTTTTTTGGTTTTTCGAGACAGGGTTTCTCTGTGTAGCTTTGGAGCCTGTCCTAGCACTTGCTCTGGAGACCAGTTTGGCCTTGAACTCACAGACATCCCCCTGCCTCTGCCTCCCGAGTGCTGGGATTAAAGGCGTGCGCCACCAACGCCCGGCATTGTACTATTTTCTAAACTAGCACATTCATTACAGTAACAGGGCCAAGATCAGACAGGTTGTTGTGGTGATATATTGTTTATCATTAAATAAAACTTGACTGACTGAAACAAAGCTAGCCACAAGCCATACAGCCAGGCAATGGGGATGTACAACTTTAATCCCAGGACTCAAGAGACAAACAGATGGATCTGTTAGTTCAAGGATACACTGAGCTACATGAAAGTGGTCCAGTCCTAAAGAGAAACAGAGCACACAAAGGGGATCTCAGCACTTAGGATCACATGCCATTAATCCTATTATTTGAGAAGTATAAAAGGAAGAAGCATAGTCAGCCTTGAGAATCAGTCTACAGCCATATTGAGGAGAGGTGGCAGTCCAGAATTGCAGTCTGAGGATTCGTGGAGCTAGCTGGATCACCCTTTCAGTCTGAGGTAGAGGTTAAGAGCTAGTGGCTGGCTGTTTTGCTTATATGACCCTCAGCTTGAACCCCAATATCTACCTCTGGGTTTTTATTAAATCGTGTTACGTAGTGCAAAAACAATGTTATTTAAAACATTAAAAAAATACTTAATGGTTTTATTGTGTGTGAGGAGTGAAAGAGACCCCTGAAAAGTGGGGGCT